CTCTGGAGCAGGTACGACGCAGCGCACTGAGTCTGTTGGTAGCTTGCTGACCCCTATCTTCCAGTATTTTCGGATCAGCACGGAGAACAGCACCATTGTCACGACTCGCCGAGCTATTGATTTGGATCACCTACGCCACGCTTCCTGGATTAACCACAACAATCAGTGGTCCTTTCGCACTACAGCTGGTTCATACCGGATTCAGCTCCCTGATCGTGCACGCACTGACATAGGCACCACATGCACCGCACTTCGTTTCATGCCAGAGAGGAGAGTCTTGATTACTGTGTCTCGCGGTTCTTCTTCCAGAGCTCGTGCTTCCACTTCCGAGGACGATCAGATACCTCGCTCCGCCGACACCACAGTACCTCTCCCTGATCTTCCCACTGAGCCAGAGGTTCCCATGGAGGCTGCTGCTTTCCAGCGGTATGTCATTCAGAGTTTTCAGAGCATCTGGAGTGCCATCGCTACTCTCTCTCGCTGCGGATGTGTTCGCCCTACTCGCCCGCGATCTCGCTCACCCACGCCCTCTGATGATGCTACTACCAGCGATGGGGACTAGTTCCTTTGTCATTCTGGTTCTGTTTTCTCGTCTTGTGTTTTTCTTCTCTTTTATTTTCGTTTGTTTGCGTCTGTTGTGTCAGCTACACTTGTTGTGAGACTTTGTTGGATTTATGCATCTATGGGTTGTATGGTTACTACTAACTTTTCTCTGAGTGATCTGACAGTGCTAACATAGATGATCGCGACGATTGCTCTCTGCACTGTGGTGTCGAGCGACACCATCTTTGGTATCGCGCGTCACCACCCTTGCACTTTCGACCTAAGCTTGTTTTCATCTGAATCTGAGCTGTGTGTTGGTCGACCTAACTGAGTAGTAAGATATTCTAACCCGTTGCATCCTTCCTTCTGACTTTCTCTTTTGTCACCAACATCGGATTTGATAACACTGGGGACAGTGTTGTTCAAGTCTGGGGGAGGTAGTTGCTGACATTATGTTTGTTTTTCTTAAGAGTCAGTTGTGTCAAAACTTTTTTTTTGAGTCAAAACTTGTTAGAGATCATGATGCTTTTCCTGGAATTATTGTACTGACCTTTCACCTAAGTGACCACTGCTGCAGATTCAGTCTAGATCCGACTAATGAAAAATCCAAAGGCTGACCAGTTGACTAGAGGCGTCCACGTTTCCAACAGAATCCACTAACCTGAGCTAAGTACTGAACTTCACTTTTAACTCGCTGATGTGACTAATGCCTTAGAGCTTGATTCCTCATTCGTACTTGATCAATGAAAGCCTGTGTGAAATTTAATGAAGTGATTTCTCTCCCTTGTAACGAGCTAAAAGAAGGCAAAAAGATTGAGATGATTTTCGCTTAGGAGTGAAGGGCTAGACATGTTTCCAATGATCCCATTATTTCACTTCTAAGTTGGAATGATCACACAAAGGAAGGAAGTGAGGGGTAGGAATGTTTCCCATGACCCCACTATTCGCTGAAAACCTTTGATACAAGGTAAGGGGACAACTCGGGGACTTGGTGGCAAACACCATCAGTACTCGCAGCTTTATCCTTATCGAGTATGCGCCATAAGAAAAAGAGAAGAAAAGAGATGATGAATGTGCGAAAAGAATAAGTCTGGGGGAGAGAAAAGGTACCAAAGTTTGTAAGGCTGATTTGTTTGAGCACAGAATGGGAAAGAATCTAGAAGGTTCTGGGCATTGGAATCATCAGTGAGATCCAGCGATGAAGGTTTATGGACCATGTTGTGGAATTTTGGACTTAATCTGGAAAGCTGTGAATGTCTACAGGGAAGTACATGGTGGTTTGATTTGGAATGATGAAGCAGTAGTTGAGTTGCAGGGTGATATGTCAAAAGCGATGTTCCAATGAAAGGTTGAGTCTCTGTGTTTTCAAACTTCTTTCTCTTATTTGGTGTTCTGTTTGCTTGAGGGCAAGCAAATGCTAAGTCTGGGGGAGTTGATATATCATGGTTTTTATGGTTTTTAACCATGGTATATGTCTTATTTATAGAGTCTTTTTAGTGTCTTTCGAGTCTTTTGAAGTCTTTTCAGGTCATAGGTACGTCTGGAGCTTAACTGGAGACTTTGGAGCACTTTGGAGCTTAATCAGGATCAAATTCGTCAAGTATGGATTTTGTGCTTTAGTGACGCTCGACACCATGGAGAGTGACGCGCGACACTTGTCAGAGAAATAAGGAAAAGGCGATTTTGTTTCCTATATGAAGAAGGAGTTGGGCCCAAACGTTTTCAAGGAAGCCCAAGACGTGTTTTAGAGATATATATAGGATTTTTATTCCCTTTTTACACACACCTTAGATTTTTGAGAGAGAGATACTCTGAGTTTTCGGCTTTTGCGATTTCTGAGCTTGGGGAGACAAGTCTGTACTCTGTTCGTTTAGAGAGAAGATTTCGAACCCCTTTATCTATTTCGATTTATTCTATTGCTTTCTATTCATCATGTTTGTTATTTCAATAACCATGTCTGAGTAGATCACCTGTTAGGTTTAGGGTTTAATTAGGGTTTTCTTTGAATGTTTGATTAACTTGCTAGTTAGGGTTCATATCTATTTGTTCTTCACCTTAGGTTGTTCTTAAAGCTAATTCTAGACTGATCACCTAGAACTTAGATCTTAAGTTGCTTAATTGACACGGAAGTGTAATTGAATAACTGGAAAGAACCTGAGTTGAGCAAAGTAACTATTCGCAAAGGAATTTGGTTTAGGAGCTTTGTGAACATATCGAACTTGTGCATTAAGGCTGGTTTAAATCTGTAGGATTTACAAAGGAATTTGGAATTCTAGGATTTTAACTTAGATAATTCTCACAACGGAAGTTGGTTAATTATAGTTCTGTGTTTCGAGTTCAAGAACCGTGCTTAATAACTGAATCCTGACTTGTTAAGTTGATTTGCATTCATTGATCTCCTTTGCGAATAGTTACTTAAATCACCCTAGACCTATCCTTTACCACATCGAATCCTGACTTGTTAAGTTGAACCCTAAATCACCCTAGACCTATCCTTTATCACATCGAATTTACAACTGTCTTCATCGCTGCTTTATTTATTTCTGTTGCATTGTTATTTGTTCTGCATATTTTGGCTTAGCGTAACTCTATCTACATAAGGTTTATTGAGTGATTTCTTGTCTCTGTGGTTCGACCCCTACATACTACAACTGCACATCTGTGCTCTTGCAGAGTAGCTTAGGGATTAAACTTTGAGCATATCATGATGATGTCGACCTCAGCCATGTTTGAGTAGATCCCGAGTTGGGCTTAGGGTTCCCGAAAGGGGCTCTCATAATCGATTAAGACATCTAGGTTTATAGATCTGGGATTTTAACTTTGTTCTCTGTTTATTTTTGTTCTTATTGCATGTATGCTTGATTGATCACCTAGTATCTGATCTAGATGTTAGTGTTGCGAAAGTTTTCATTAAGTATCAGCCCTAGAATGAAACATGCGATTTTTCCGTAGGAGTGGAAACCTACCAGCAGCGAGATCGTGAGTATTGACGAGTCTTGTGCAGCTCTTGCGTTCTCTCCCTTCCAGGGCCGGAGTAGAAACGTACTGGTCAGGATTGCGAGAAACAGTTGGTTATGATCACGACAGTGACGTAGTCATACCGCCGTACTCTAGCTCTAGAACCATATATATCGATATCCGTCAATCCCAATCTATCTACCCTAGTGTTAAAACCGATTATGATCCCTGTAGAGTTTCCAAAAGCTCAGCGTTTTTAGCCATAGTTTAAAACCAATCGACTTTTACTTGCTTATTTAGATCTGCATTTCAATTACTTTAGTTCGATATTTTGCTTGCTTTACTTGCTTTCCATTCGATTTTTCTACTTGTTTTCTAGGATAGATTTATTTGCTTTCTTTAAGTTTTAGTTTAGTCCGTGAAAAACAACCAACCTGTAAAACCAATCTAGTCTGACATAAAGTTAGAAACCGTAGAAGAATACCAAGCACACAAATATTTGTGGATTCGATCCCTAAATACTACAACTGATTAGCTGTGCACTTGCGGCTTTCATTTGTTTTTGTTAAAGGTAAAACTTGTTCCCTCACGCAGTTGACACGCATCAAGTATGTGGATTATGATCTCGATGGCTACGAGGGAGAGTAATCCGAAATGTTGTGTTTTTGAGACAGGTTTTTCTTTCATTTTAATTTCGATTTCAGTATTTTTTTTTTTTAAGATTTCTCAATCACTTGCATTAGTTTTATTTTAAAAATAATTTATTAAATTAATTGCAAAAATTGAGTTTATTGAATTGAATAAGAGTATTTTCCAGAAATATGTCTTTATTAATTTAATAAATGTAATAAACCGATTTAGAACCGATGATGACATTCCATTTCGTCTGGTCGACGGATTGTTCTGTTAGAATACACAAAGCAATAAGAGGTGGAATAAAATTGCTAATTCAATGCCAACTGTAGTAGATTGCAATTTTTTTTTTGTAAAAATGCTGAAATTGCTAGGTTGAAATTAGTTTCTACTTCAAGTAATATCTGGCGCAAATATGTCATATTTTAAATATTTTAAAAGTGTATAAATAAATACTTAAAAATTTTAAAATAAGTGTTATTTGATTCAAATAAGTCAACACATATTTTGATACTTGTAATGGAATGTATAGCCATGCAATACCCGATAATTTATGTACAATTCAATCAATTTTTTTCGAAAGATAATATTACTATAAACATTTCACTCTCTTGCATGCTTTTATTAGAACCTCTTATTGATTGGTTCCATATTTTCGGATAACAACTTGTCCATATATCTTTTATTTAAGCTTTATTTTATAAACAACTGGGAAAGCTCAATTTCAACATCAGGAGGGAAGAAAAACACAAAACCGCAGAAAGAATATTAAAGAAAACAAAAGAAAAAAAAATAACAAAGCAAAAGCAAAAGAGAGTGGTAAGGCTCCACACTCAAACTCTTCACTCTCACTCCTTCTTTCTGTCTCTTACCAGTTGCCAATGGCTCTCTATCTCCCATCTCTCTCCCTTCTCATCCTCCTTCTCCTCCGCTCCTCCACGGCGATGTGGTGCGTTGCTCGGTTTGATGTTACAAGCCAGGCGCTTCAGGCAGCTCTAGACTACGCATGTGCCGCTGGAGCCGACTGTGCTCCTATCCAGCCCAGTGGTCTTTGTTTCCTCCCTAATACCATTCAGGCTCACGCATCTTATGCTTTCAATAGCTACTTTCAGCGTAGAGCCATGGCTCCTGGCTCTTGCAACTTCGCGGGCACCTCCACCCTCGCCAAAACCGATCCCAGTATGTATTTTACAATAACATGGCTTAACAGGATCGGTTAAATCGGTTAATAAAATTTTATAATAGTTGTTTTTACTACGTACATAGTTCTCGATTTGTCTGTTGAACTTTGCATTATCTATGTTTCATACCTTTTTTGTGGTTTGGTTTAGCAACAATAAGCTTTTATATTTTAAATCGCAATCTGGTTTTAACTCGTTCTAACTCGGTTTATTCTTGTAAAGGTTATGGATCATGCGTGTACCCAAATTCTTTGAGGTACGTGAGTTTTATGTGATGTATTCATTTTGATGCTCACATTTGATAACCAATAAGTTTAAATATTTTTATGGTTACACTTTTCTATTCGCTTCAAATACATGTTTTCGACCGTTTTCAATATATTTTTTTAACTGAATTTTTTTTATGGTCTCCTAATTAAGAAATATTCGTCTGCACGACTTTTTCATTGGTTTGACTAGGAATATGTGAATATTTTACCCAAAAAAAAAAGAATATGTGAATATATTTCATGCGTCGTACTATTTTGCATGTCTTTTAAAAGTATTATCCCATTTCATGTGTTTGGACCGTTGGATGATCGTAGCTGGCAACTTAGAAATTATTCAACGGTAGAAATCCTTGTGCATATATGCGGGGCCCATCTCATCTTTCATTGTTTTGTTTCTGTATCCTGTTTTATTCTGTTCGTTGCTCTTTCACTTTTCCTGGCCAGAGTATAGTCAAAAGTAAGGGAAATAAAACACACAAAGTAATAAAAAAACTCTTGACAAAGAAAAAAAAAAAAAAGCATGTCCTCTTGGAGCAGAACTTTAGTTTTACTTTAGAGATTTCTTGACGAACAAGCTTATATATACAAGTTGATGAGATACATATATTTGTTTATTATGACCATTCTTGATTCTTGGGAAAATCATTTGTTTCTTTTTGCCATGTTCATTTTATGTTTTCATTCCGTTTCTTTAAACATCGAACTCTTAAAATTCGTTCTATGTTTTTTTTTTTTTTTTTTTTTTTTTTTTTTTTTTTTTTTAAATATTACTAACAGAACAGAAAATCTCTCTGAAATGACGACGAAAGAAACACGATTTTAGGATGAGGTTGGATTCAATCGAGATTACAAAACAATCAAGGGATTTTCATGCGGTTATTCTTAAGATCAATTACGAAGATCTGTATCTTAATCAGAGCGGATCTGATGAGATTTGGATACGGTTTTCAATGGTGAAAATAGAACCACGGATCAGGTTTTCTTTTGCGGATCAAAGGGGAGATGCGATTACCAGGGAAAAAGTTAAAGAGGATCTTAATTATGGCAAGGCTAATACTCGGTTTCAATCGACGGAAATCAGATCGGAGTCTCAGATTTCGATGGTCTCACATGATTATTTCACAATGGGAGAATCTCGAATTAAGAAGGGAAATTACCTAAGTTCAGAAGCGATTCTAAAATCCGAAAAGGCAGATCGGGGGATAATCAAACGAAGCTGTCAGAGATTTGGTATCATCTCAACGGATTCTGGATATCAATCCACACTAAATGGCGGTGAAAAACAGGGAAAATGCAAGCAGTATTTAACAGAGGCGAATGGGTATTCTGCTCCTCACCATTCACAGTTTTCAAGTATCCAAACCTTACTCTCGATTATCAAAACAAGATGTCTAAAAGCTCGGTTTTAAATCAGGCGGTTTCAAAGAAGGTGGCCGAAGCTCCAATCAAGAGATTGAAGATCACGGTGCCCAAATTTGATAACAAGAGCCTGATTAAAGGTTACTCACGCACTCTCATAGGCAGGTGCATGAACCCTCAAATGCAGGACATGAAAGCTCTATTGGACATGTTTCCAAGAATATGGAAAATGGAGGATCGGATAGCAGGTGCGGATCTCGGAATGGGCAAGTTCCAATTCAATTTTCAGAAAGAGGAAGACATTCAAGAGGTAATGAAAATGGAGCCATTCCATTTTGATTACTGGATGCTGTCTCTGGTGCGGTGGAGTCCGGTTGTTGACCATTAATATCCATCAGCAATCAAGTTCTGGGTCAGGATTATGGGAGCCCCACTCCATTTCTGGGCTGATGTGACCTTCGAAAGTATCGGCAAGGCGCTTGGATCAGTGGAAGCAGTTAATCTAGATGAGGGGAAGATTCAAGTGATAATCGATGGTTTCAAACCATTAATTTTTGAAACGACGGTGGAGTTCGACGGTGGTGTAGAAACAATGGTGTATCTGAGGTACGGGCGTTTGTTTGAATTTTGTAAAATCTGTCAGAGTCTGTGCCATGATCACCAACGGTGCCCAACACGGATTGAATCCGAAGAACGGAGACATCAAGGTGAATTCAATGATGACCCAACAAATGGTTATGGAACAGCTTTGTGTTAAACAGCTGTTAAATATGGAGGTAACGGAAGTAATGGAGACAAAGACGCGGGGAAGCACAATGGAGGAGGGAATGATGGTAAACAGCAAAAAGGGAGGACAGAGAGGAGATATAGCGAAGGTTCATCAAGGGGTTTCAGACCCTCGAGCCACCCTCCTCCAAAGAAACAACAGAAGAGGTATGTGACGGAGGAGGCAAAAGAGATCGCATCGGTTGAAACGGAAAGTTTGTCTCAGCATCAGATGACAACTTCCAACTCAGAGAATCAGGAGATTGCTGTGGCACAAGTATCTCAAACGCAGGAGGTTGGCTCGGGTATGCACATTACAGCACGTCACAAAGACAAAGCAGTGAGAAAAAGTTTATCATTTGAGGATGATGACCGGCTGGATTTTGCGTCTCGGGGAAAAGAGGACCAAGAAATGGAGGACAGGCGGTTTCTAGAGAAGAATGGGGATGGCTCGGTATCAAACATGGAGGCAAATGCTCAAAGTGACTTTCATGAATCTGGCGTTGCTATATCAGATTTTCTGCAACAGGTGAACTCAGGGGTTGAATCGGGTGAACTCCATCTCGATATAGACAACGATTTGGGTGCTTTGGGACATGAAGAAGGTGATTTTTTTGAGAACCCAGATATTGAGATGCAGATGCTGGTGGGACAGGTTAAAACACCAGTGGAACCTGTAGAGGTGCAAAAAAGTGAGGTTGATTCTCGGCTGGTCATCATGGAGGAGGACAAGGGGAAGAGTGCAGAGCCAACTAAACCAGAACCGAAGAAAAAACAACAGAAATCCACTCTGCCTTACCTTGGTGGTTCAAAAAAGAGAATGGTTCAGGCGATAGTCTCTCCGCGGAAGAAGCAGGTCACAAAAACAACAAACCGCAATGGAGAAGGAGCATGTACGGCAGCTCCAAAAGGCCCCTCACTTCCGCAGGAGGAGCAAAAACTTTGAGATTTCTTTTAAATGAGGGTTTTGAGTTGGAATTGTCAAGGTTTAGGAAGTCATTGGACAATAAGTTATCTTAGAGAGGTTTGAAAGAAACATAGACTACAGTTTTTGTTTCTTTCAGAAACCAAGCAAGAATTTTCTTTTATACAAAAATTTCAATTTCATTTTGGTTATAATAAGTTTTATACGGTTGAACCATCGGGTGCAAGCAGATGACTTGCATTAATTTATAATGATAATTTTGATGTTTCTATCACTTTCTCAAATAATCGGATTATTGATGTTGAGGCCAACATTTTTGGTAAAAAGGTTTTCCTCTCTTTTATTTATGGAGACCTGGTGGTTAAAATGCGGGATCAAGTTTGAGAAAGATTAACCCGAATAAGTCTTACAAGGACAGAACCCTGGTTTATTATTGGTGACATGAATGAGATTACAAGTAATAATGAAAAGCAAGGGGGAAATTTAAGGTATGCTTCCACGTTTGTGTCCTTTAATCTTATGATTCATGACTATGGCTTCTTGGAATTCCCTTGTTTAGGAAATACAATGTCTGGGAGAGGAAGAAGGACTGGAAAAATTGTCCGCTGCAGACTTGACCGGGCTCTAGCGAATGAGGATTGGCATGAGCTTTTCTCACACACATTTGTTGAGTATCTGGCAATGATTGGTTCGGATCATAGGCCAATTATTGCAACAATTGAAAATAAGATTCCACGAAACAAATCACAATTTCGTTTTGATAAACGATGGTTAGGACAAGCCGGCATAATGGAAGCAATTTCCATAGGCTGGAATCTCAATACCGGTGGTGAGAGAATGAATTTCATGGGAAAAATTCGGAACTGTCGACGAGAGATATCCAAATGGAGGCAAACCCTACAGCCATATGGAAAGGACAAAATTGAGGATTTGAAACAGAAACTAGAAGAGATCCAAAACGATGATACACGATCGGAAGAGGAACTGAAGGATACAGCAAAAAAGTTACAGGCAGCTTATCGGGATGAAGAACTATACTGGCAACAGAAAAGTCGGACTCAATGGGCACAGGCAGGGGATAAAAATACCAAATTTTACCATGCCCTAGTTAAACAACGACGAGCACAAAATCGGATTATTGGTTTGCACAATGAGGTGGGAACATGGGTTACATCCGAAATAGAGATTGAGCATGTAGCTGTAAAATATTTTGAGAAATTATTCACCACGACTTCCCCAACGGAATTTGATGATGCATTGGGTCAGATTAGACCATTAATTTCAGAAATTAATAATGCTATGCTCACGGCGATAGCCTCAGAAGAGGAAATAAGAAACGCACTTTTCATGATGCACCCAGAAAAAGCTCCAGGACCTGATGGAATGACAGCATTTTTTTACCAACGCTCGTGGCAGATTATCAAGGCGGATCTCGTACGGTTAGTCAATGGTTATTTGGAGACGGGATGTCTCGAGGAAATTTTAAATCAAACAAACATCTGTTTAATCCCAAAAACAGAAAGGCCTATGCGGATGACGGAGCTGCGACCTATTAGCTTCTGCAATATAGCTTATAAGCTCATATCTAAGGTGCTATGTCAGCGTTTGAAAAAATTATTACCGGCTCTAATATCGAAAACACAATCAGCCTTCGTGGCAGAACGGTTGATCTCAGACAATATCCTCATAGCACAGGAGATGTTCCATGGTCTAAGAACCAATAAATCATGCAAAAGTACCTATATGGCAATTAAGACGGATATGAGTAAAGCCTATGATTGAGTTGAGTGGACATTTATTGAGGATCTCTTGCGACGTTTCGGCTTTGCAGAAAGATGGATTATATGGATGATGAGATGTATTACAACAGTGAAATATAGAGTTCTTCTAAATGGTCAACCAAAGGGCCAAATAATCTCGAACCATGGTTTAAGCCAAGGGGATCCTTTATCCCCATATTTATTTATTTTATGTACGGAAGTCTTAATAGCAAATATCAAGAAGGCTGGAGAGGAAAAGCTATTAACTGGTTTAAAGGTTGCTCTCACATTTGCTCTTTGCAGATGATAGCCTATTCTTCTGTAGAGCAAATAGAGAGGAATGGCAGAAGATATTGGCCATTCTGAAACAATATAAGAGGATTTCAGGACAACAAATTAACTTTGATAAATTTTTGATCCAATTCGGTCACATAGTTATAGAGTAAACTAAAAATGAGATGAGGCAGATTATAGGAATTTCTAGAGACAGAGGGACGGGATCCTATCTCGGCATCCCAGAGAGTTTAGACGGTGCCAAGACCAAGGTATTTAATTTTGTAGCAGAGCGACAAAACAATAGAGTAAACAGCTGGACATCCCGTCTGTTGTCAAAAAGGGGTAAAGAAGTTCTAATTAAAAATCGGTAGCATCTGCGATGCCAACTTTTGTTATGTCCTGTTTTTGGTTGCCCAAAGCCACAACAAAAAAAACTATCAACCGCAGTGGCAAAATACTGGTGGAGCTCAGATGGACACAATCACGGTATGCACTGGATGGCGTGGAAGAAAATGTGTAAAGCCAAAAGTGAAGGCGGAATAGGTTTTCGTGACATGGAGGATTTCAACACAACTTTATTGGCAAAACAACTATGGAGGCTCATCGATAGACCGACATCCTTATTTTCCAGGGTTTTTAAGGGATGATATTTTCGGAACACGAGTCCTTTTGGACCCAGTTTGATCCTACTCGCCGTCTTATGGATGGCGAAGTATTCTCTCGGCTAGATCTCTGGTTAATAACGGACTAATCAAAAGAGTTGGTTCAGGATGTTCCATTTCTGTCTGGAATGATCCATGGATACCTTCTTATCGCCCGAGACCAGCCACTTGTAAGGGTATTAATTATTACCCAAAACTTCCAGTGACAAAATCATGAAATTTGGGACTGCTGACGGCAATCATCGACCTAGGGGATATAGAGATTATTTGGGGAATCCCTATTAGTAGCTCCTATATGCCAGATCAATTAGGATGGCATTTCTCAAAATCTGGACGTTATACAGTAAGAACTGGATACAAGGCTGAACAGGAATACCCTGAGGGAGACTTAGTGGTTTTCTCAGGCCCAGATATAAAGGAATTACAAGAACATACTTGGAAATTAAAATGTGCACCAAAATTGAGACATTTTATTTAGCAAGCTCTTTCTGGATGCCTCTCGGTATCCGCTAGATTACGCACCCGGGGAATACAATGCGACACACAATGTGCATGCTGTGGCGAGCAGGAGGAATCAATTAATCATTAACTGTTTGAATGCCCCCTCCCCCGGATGTTCTTGGGATCATCGGTTTTTGCAAATTTTGACGATCTGTTTTGGAGGATTCCACAAGGGGTGAAAAATTCACACTATCTTTGGATTGTATGGTACATATGGAAGACACGGAACGAAAAATTATTCGCCAACAAAGACATCGATCCACGAGGGACATTAAAAATAGCAGAAACAGAAGCGACATTATGGGAGGAGGCCCAAAAGGAGGAACAAGCTTCACACACTGCAGAAATTTATAATGTTCAGTGCTTATCAACACACATACCCCATGAGGGTTGGTGGTGTTATCTTGATGATTCTTGGAAGGACACAGATCCTTTTGTGGGACTTGGATGGTTTTATTTTAAGGAAGGAGATACGGAAACAATAATGGGAGCACAGAGAGTACGACAGAGCCTTACGCCTCTACATGCCGAATTGGAGGCCCTTACATGGACAATGCACTGCATGACCCTGAACCATAAGACGGAAGTAGCTTTTGCAACAGACTGTTCGGAGATAGTGAAGATGGTGTCTGAACCCGACGAATGACCAGCTTTCGCTCTTCATTTGCAAGAGATTGGAAGAATGAAGGACAATTTCATCTTTTTCTTTCTAAAATATATCCTACGCGCAAGAAATTCAAAGGCGGACAATCTTGCAAGAAGTGCTCGTGTCCAACCTCAAGAAATTGTTTATGTGAATTCGTCTCCACCGGATTGGTTGATTGAACCGTTTTAGGTAGTTCAAGCTGTTGACAAAAAAAAAATAATTTAAAAAAAAAAGAAATACCAGAAATACCAGAAAAAGTAAAGTTTATGTTTGTTAAGTTTTTAGCATTTCTGGAAATTACACTTTGAATATTTTACAAACGAAAATTGTTTCCAACTTTAAGTTTTTACAGTCCGGTCACAATGTGTTATGTATACAATACACAGACTAATCTGGGGGAGGGGTAAATGACACGAATAGAACAGAAAAAAATGAAAGTGACAGAAAACTTAGTAATCCAATTGTGTCTGTTTTTACAAATAAGTCAATTTTATATCCCAATTGTACCATAATTTATAATAAATTGTAAGCTTCTACCAAATTTCAAGTTTAGATAGGTTTCTTTACGGGTTTTAGTACGTTTTTTTTAATTCATGTAGTATTTTCTGGTTTTTTCTAAACCCAGATTTATGATATTTTTGTATTTTTGGTAAACTTTAAGAAAAATAAAAACATAACATGTGGAATTTTTTGTGAATTTTCGAATATTATTAGGTTCGTTTATTTTATAAAGACCCTACTAAACTATAGACCCTAAAAACAAAACTTATTACAGATCAGCAATGTTTAAACTGGGCGGTAATTAATGCATTACTTCACCGGAACAAGAAGATTCGATATGTTAATTTACATTGATGCTGAAACTTTTCCGGTGAATGTGTTCATCCAAAATGATCAGAAAATTGGTTTTGGCAATGGCAGCAACGCTGGAGGGTCAGCTTCGACAACAACAGTGGGAGGAACGCCGACAGCAACCGCCGGAAACATCCCCATGACGTCACTGAGGCCACCGTCGGGCACCACGGCGTCACCTTTTGGAATAGGCGGGGGTGGACTTATTCCGCCGGGAACGACTGACACCGATGAATCTGGAGCTTATTATAGAAAGACGAGTGTCTCTATAGCTTTATTGGTGGTCATGGTTTTGTTGTTTATTTAGGCTTTAGATTCGTGTTATATATACATTTTTATGGCTAACAAAATTTTGGTGAAATGGGTTAATCAATCAGAAAGATTTTTTTTGTTTTTTAGCGTTGTTTGATCGGATCTTCTGTCTCTGTAATCTTATAATTACATTGTTAGTTTTCTTTTCAGGTTTCTTGCATATATTTTCACTATTAAGTTTTATTAGATTCCCATCTGTGCAGACGCACATGATAAGATCTTTGTAAGATTTAATGTATTAAAATAAAATTTCTTAATGAGAATTAATCATGTAGACATAATTTAAAGAATAAAAACTTATTTAATTAGACTTGTTAAAATTAATTTAAATCCGGGCAAGCGACAATTTTTATTTATTTTTATCTTTTATGATTTTATATTTAGTGAAAAAACATATTTACGATATGACATGTATGTTTCAAAACTAGTGAATTTAGAACTACACAATCAATGAGTGTTAAAATAGGCTATCTCATTTTTTTTTAGGAAGAATTTCTTTTGTAATGCCAATTCAATGATTTAATTACCCTTTAAATCAGTTATGGCAGTTAGAATAAAAAATAAATCCGAAACTATATTTTCAATTTTTTAAAATATCTAAAAAAGAAGTAAAAATATTTTCGGATATTATTTATGGAAACAAAATATTTTTAAAATATTTTAAAAATTTGTTCTACGTATGGTAGAATGCGTGTTTTATGTTCTACATACACGTAGAATCCCATTTCTATAGTTATTTATATATTCTATCAGCATGTAGAATTCGTTTTCTGTAGTTCGTTTTATATTCTACCAATTGGTATAAAACGTATTCTGTATATTACGGTAGATTACAAGTTCTACTGGATAGTCTATATTCTATATGTTGGTAAAATATAATTTCTATTTATTAGACCAGGTTCTACGTTATTGTAGAACAGTTTTTCTACATATTGTCCTCATTCTACAATAATCTAAAATACAACTTCTACCAAATTCTGAGACAATTTAGGAAAATTAGTGATATCTCATCTCTGAATATTTTCGAAAATCTATTTTTTCACGTTTTTATCTGTTTTTTTCACATTTTTTTTACATTTTTTGGCTATCATCGTTCACTTTTTCTTCTTTCCCATTGATCAAACAGGTTTTGTCTAGGTTTACTTATCTTCTGCTTCAAACATGCTACATATCTATATCACTTGTGATTCATGGAAATCAGGGACATCTAAGAAGTGGATTTTTTTGGCTGATGAAGAAAAGGAGCTACCTCAATTACAGTGGTTATGTTACTAAAAACAAAATCCATGAGTTTCTACTTGGAATTGAATTGAAAAGTGGAAGAATTTGCAAATAAAGAGGGACAAATATTGTCGTTGGCTCCTATATCTATTATAGTATTTGTGAAGTGATTCGGGCTGTGATTTAACGCCCAACTTTTGATGTCGTTTTGATTAATGAAAATTAGATGATTTGATTGGTTGAAAATCGTTATAACTTAATTGGTTGAATTAGCTATTTTTACTCATTTAAACGATATATTAAATGCTTAATTAAATGCTTAATTAAATGCTTAATACAACTCAACAAAAAAAAGGAAACATGTGCCATAGTTCCATCAGCCTAATAATGAGGCCCAAAATAAAAATTTAAAAATCGAAAAAAATTATACATAGTTGTGATACGTAGATTGATGGGCCTCAGGGTCGCAGGTCATTTGCAAGCCCATTGGTCCGGAGTTTTAAATTTATAAAACCCTAATGTCTAAAAGTGCACAAAATTCCAATATATCGTTTACACTGAATGAGATGATAGCTGTGTTGGTTAGCTGTTTTATCCATTAGCCGAAGTTTCACGGGTTCGAATCCCATTGTTCGTTTATTTTTTATTTATTTGTTGAATTTTTTATAAGTCAGTGTTTGGAAATAAGTTTTATTTGTTAAATATTTTGCAAACGAAAATATGTCATTTTTTTCTTTGTTATTATCTATAATAGAATCTTTACTTTTTTTAATTAATAAATATGGAATTCATGGAAAGATAATATCATATATAAAACAAAAATTACCTTTAATATTTTTCATAAACAACTAAACCCTAGGTGGTTTAGACATATAAATATGAGTATTTTAAAAGAACCGTCTCATAATTTTAACTTCAGTTTCTCTGCTAGGGTTCTGTGTTTTATTTTCTTTGTTGGTAGCTTATTCTTTGAGTGCTAGGGTTCTTATAATAGCATTAACTTCTTTGATTTCTTTTAAAAGGCTTCATGATGTTTGTCAAGATTAGGAATCAGTTAATTACAGCCTCCAATGGAAATTTTCTTGCAAAGGAGGTTCATGAAGCAATGGAATTATTGGAGAATCTTGCTTAGAGTAATGACACATATGGCGAAGAGTATGATAGGTCATATAGAGGTGAAAGTTCTCAGGAGGAGCAGAGAGAATGAAGAAAGACATCAGGGAGCTCCAAACAAAACTAGACAAGGTATTGGTTGCTTCTCAAAAACCAAAACAATTTGTTGGTGAGTTTGATGAAAACCATATCTTTGTGGATGGCCAAGAAGAGTGTGCTGGTTAAGAGGAAATCAACTATTGGAGGACAAAAAAGGTTTCAAAGATTCAACAATTACAACAACCAGAATCTTTCATACATAAACCCCAATGTTGCAAATCCAAATGATTAGGTATACCCTCCACAATAAGCTCAGAATCAGGGTTATAACAACATGAATCAATTTCAGGGATATTACCATGGGAAGCAGACTTAGCTCAGCAAGGTGCTGCTCAGCCTAATCAGGGAAATAGTTCCAACATTCTAGAGGGTTTTCAAGGAAAGAAAACTTACCCTCCAGGTTTTAATCAGAATCAAGGTCAGCAAGGTTCTTCTCAGTGACAGGGAGCTTCATACAAGAGAACAATCTCCAGTGCTCATTGAGGACAATGAGCAGCTTGGTGGGGAGGTGCCTGTTGAGAATGATCAAGATGATGATGTTGTTGAGCTAGGAGTAAGCAGTAAGGACAAAGGTAAAGGTCTTGAGAAAGAAACGGCGCCTGAGAAGCCATCAAAGAAGACTACACCTTTTATTCCACCACCTTATCAGCCAAAGTTGCCCATTCCCTGGTAGATTCAAGAAGAAATTGCTGGAGAAATACAGAGCTATATTTGATAAACAGATGGAGAAGGTTTAGATCACAATGCCATTAGTGTAAGCTTTCCTTTTAGTGCTTCAATACACTAAAATCCTTAAAGATGCTATAGTGGAAAAGTCACTGGAAACTTCAAGGTATGGTGGTGTTGACTCATGAATGCAGTGCCATTATTCAAAAGAAATCAGTTCCAAGAAAGTTCTCCTCTTTGGGTCTTTGAAGTTTGCTAATTGCTTGTGTGATTTGGGAGCTTCATTGAGTCTCATGCCTTTTTCCATTGCAAAGAAGCTAAGGTTCGCAACCTACAAACCCTGTAGAATATCTCTGGTATTAGCTGGCAGATCAGTGAGGCTTCCAATTGGTTTACTTGACGATTTACCTGTCAAGATTGGTGATTTTGAAGTCCCCGCTGATTTAATAGTTCTTGAGATGAAGAACCCAAGGATCCCTTGATTCTAGAAAGATCATTCTTGGCCACTGCTGGTGCCATTATTGGTGTCAGAAAATAAAAGATTGATTTTCATTTGGGATCCGAAGTGTTGAACTTTGACATGAATGAAGTGATGAAAAAACCAACTATAGAAGGTCAAGTGTTCTATATTTAGACTATGGAGGAGTTGTCTGATGAATTACTTGAGGAGTTGAATACTGAGGATCAGCTGCAAGTTGCTTTGACAAAAGAGCATGAAAGCTATGGGTATTTGGAAGCAGCAAGTGAATTTTACAAGTTGATGCTGGATCAGCGCAAGCCTGTGAGTGAAGATAAACCATTCTTGGAGCTCAGAGCCGGTTTAGACAAGGTATCAGCCCAAGAGTGTCTAGGCATGGGTCTGGAATCAGAAGAGATGCACAATGAGCCTGAGCTTGGAAGCAACACCAAAGGATCCAACATGGACCAGACAATCCTCAATGAGGACTGGAATGAACTCAAGGCGCTAAAGGTGAAACTAAAGCCACTCCTAGTGGCTTGAGGTATGCTTTTGTAGGCCCAATGCATCATATCCTGTCATCATCAATGAGAACCTGATTGAACATGAAGAAGTAGCATTGCTAAATGAACTTAGAAAGTTTAGAAGAGCTATAGGTTATTCACTTGATGAAATAAATGGGATCTCAGCATCACTTTGCACTCATCGAATCCACACCTTGAGAATGAATCAATGAGCTCTATAGAGCATTAGAGGAGGTTAAATCCAAACCTCAAAGATGTTGTAAAGAAGGAGATTCTAAAGCTCTTGGAGGCAGAAATTATTTATTCAATTTCTGACTCCAAGTGGGTCTCACCAGTGCATGTTGTTCCTAAAAAGGGTGATGACTGTCATTAGGAATCAGAAAAATGAGTTATTCCCCACTAGAACTGTCACTGGTCATCGCATGTGCATTGATTATAGGAAGTTAAATGCTACATCTAGAAAACATCATTTCCCTCTTCCTTTTATTGATTAAATTCTTGAGAGATTGGCAAATCACCCTTATTATTGCTTCCTAGATGAGTATTCTGACATTTTCCAGACACCAATTCACCAAAATGATCAGGGAAAGACTACATTCACCTTTCCTTATGGTACTTTTTCTTATAGTAGGATGCCATTTGTCTTTGCAGTACACCTGCTACCTTCCAAACTTGTATGATGTGTATCTTTTCTGACTTGATTGAGGAGATGGTGGAAGTATTTATGGATGACTTTAGTGTCTATGGATCTTCTTTCTCTGCTTATTGTCTAATCTTTGCAGGGTGCTTAAGAGGTGTGAAAAGACAAATCTGGTTTTAAATGGGAGAAATGTCACTTCATGGTGAGAGAATGAATTGTTCTTGGCCATTTTGATGTTGATAAATCCAAGGTGGAAGTTATGGTGAATCTTGAGGCTCCAAACTCAGTGAAGGGAGTAAGAAGCTTCTTGGATCATGCTGGATTCTATA